TAAGTAGAATATGGGCGTTATATAGGGATAATGGAAAAGAAAATGGAAACTACAAGTTAGGGTTTAGGGTGTAGGGTATATGGTCCCCGTTAAGTAGATAGAATGTGGGGTATATGGGGATCTTATTATAACTTACCCAAAGCCATATTCTATCTACTTAAGGGGGACTATAGAGTGGAAGGATGAGGGTCTAGGGTTTAGGATATTTTGGGATTAGCGTTGAGGGATGTTGGTTGCGGCATGATAGGGGTTAGGCTTTAGGGATTAGAGGTTGGGCTTGAGGTTTTAATCAGGGTTTAGGGACTACAGTATAAGGGTCTAGGGATATGAGACAAAACAATCTACGTTGCATTTTTCCCTTTCATGGGGCGGTGAAACTCACAAAGGAGAAATGCGGGACCCTAAACCCTTAGCCCCCGGGGCTCCGAACAGCAGAAAGAAGCTTAGTGCAACAGTCCTCGGGTAGGTCGAACATGCACGAGGCAATTCGCAAAAAGAAGCCGGATTACATACCAATACATCCACCCAAGAACGTATAAACCGTAAATCCTAAACCCTCAACGTGTCAACCCTGAGCGACTAGGGTTTACGGGTATACGGTACCTTCGATATGGGAGGTTGTCAACACTGTGGTCCAAGTTGGGGTGCCTAGTATAGTTTGGCGCCTGGGCTCTCAAAGAGGGACCGTAATATCACAATTTAATATGTTCTCTTATCATCTGCCTGTAGCAGCCGGTTAAGGGACCCTAAACCCTAAACCTGGGTTTAGGGTTAGGGGGCAGCAGTGCCTTGCCTTACAAGCCGCGTCCAGTCAGCCGCGGCAGCAGCTGCCCAAGTTCGAGCAAGCATGAATTCCTTCATTCGAAACTAGACATCACTAGGGGATATGGGGGTTAAAATTTAGGGGTATAATATACCTGAACCACAGAATATGTAGAATACTTGCCTTTTGGGTTATTTCTAGGGTTTTGGGCGATTATTTTACCTTCTTGGCGGTCCAGGATAAACGCTTCTTGTCGAGGCATGTTGCATGGATCAAGAATGCTCATATTGAGAAGCACTTGGTAGTTATGCTGAAGCACTGGTGGTATCTGCAATAATGATTACCTGGTCATAACTTGGGTTTTTCCCGACTTAGATCCAGCAAGCACAAATGTCATGGGCGCGCCCTGTCCTCATTCATCATCAGACGTGTCCGATTCATCGTCCGTTTCATCTGGAGCTACCTGGAGCGTTGGTGGAGTGAGACCGCCTTTTTAGGTAGGTGCATGGCAAAACACAAATTATACCAGAGAATTACCTGATCTTGATTCGGGTTGGTCCCCACCCAACCGCCTGCATACTTTGCCCTCAGACTGCGCAATCTCAACCAAGAAGGCAGCGTCAAACAATGAAGCAGTAGGTAGATCCACCTGGACCAATTTGCATGAACTCATTCTCTAGACTCTCTAAACCCTAAACCCGGTGTGCAGATATCAGGTGGCACCCTACATTGAGGCCTAAATCGACCCTGAAGCTCCTAGGACTACTTGGAGCTTTCTGGGTTCAGGTGTGGGCTTTGGGGGCTAGGGTTTAGGATCCGATTATGAAGGTCCAAGAGCCTAAGGGTAGACCTCACTTTAGCCTTAATTGGGGTTACCCACCTGGTAAGTACCCACCTGCGGGTGTCCATGACCAACTCTCTAATCCCCTCCCCCTAGTATTAAATACTCCCAATATATTAAAGTCTACAACGAGTATTAAATATTAGAGGGTGGGGGGGGGAGTTGAGTATGAGGGGGAAGGGATTGAAACCTATGAGCCCTGAAGCTGAGGCACCGAGATGTTTTTCAGCTCCATCCACCTGGGAAGTTGAATCTGCTCTCCGGGGTTTGGGGTTTGGCTTGCTGGTGGTTAGTAGGGAGTAAAGCTATGGGGAAAAAAACGACTATTTTCGGGGACATTGGCATCAACTCCTCCAGTCCCTGCTGACCACCAGCAGCTTAGTCCCACACCCCCACAAATATTTAGGCTTTAGGGTTTAGAGTCTAGAGTCTAGAGTTAGCTGTTCCGCGACAGTGAGTGGAATTAGATTGCGAGTACATGGGGATGCTACGGGCCTATATAAATTCTCTGCTTTTAGATCCCCTCCAGGGGTCTGGGCTAGCAGAATATTGGGCCCCAGTGCGTTAAGAGGATCCTTATTGCCAAACGTTCGCCATCTACCTGCTCGCTGTTGGTAGGAAATAGAAGAATGGCCGTAGCCCCATGTCACATATTAAACCCCCCGTGTACACCCCCTTTTAAGGAGTTTGGACTGTAGCTCATGCAACCCCACATCATATTTTTGCATTTTCCGTGTCTTTGTTCTTTCTTTCATTGCCTGCAACCCCCCCTCATAAACTGCAAGTATCCATGTCATTGTCCATTTGCATGTTCCATGTGATTTCTCCATTCTAAGCCCTAAGCCCTATATATATATATATATATATACATATACATATATATTTTCTATATGTGCATAGACCCATACATCCACGTCAAACCCCTAAACCGATGGCAGTCCTTATTTCATTGTCCACAACTTCAGCTTCTAACCCTGAACCCTAATCCCTAAATCCCTAAAGCCTCAAACCCTAAACCCTAACCCCTAGACCCTAATCCTAAACCCTACACCCTGAACCCTACGCCTTTGACCCTTGAAAGCAGGATGGCCGCAGATAGGAGCAGGGGCTGGTCTCTTCGAAACACTTATGTTGTTTAGGGATGAAGGTTTAGGGTTTAGGATTTTAGAGTTTTAGGCTTAGGGTTGAGGGTCTAGAGTTTCAACTTAGGGTTCAGGAATTTAGGGTTTAGGATTTTGGGCTTTAGATTTAGGCGGGCTTAGGATTTGGGGTTCAGGGTTTGGGGACAAAGGCGGCATGACATACCCTAAACCCTAAACCTTGAACCCAAAACCCGAAACCCCGGGGTTTTGCGGTACAGTACCAACCCTGGGAATCAGAGAGAAAGGGAAATGGGGTAGGGATATAGGGGTTATATGGGGGTTACCTGGAAATAATGGAAAAGAACGTGGAAACTAACATAGGGTTTAGGGTTTAGGCTTCAGGGGTTAGGGCTTAGGATTTAGGGGATTAGGGCTTAGGTTTTAGGCGTTTAGGGTTTAGGACCGCGCTGATGAATCTTGCAGGCATGACAGGCAAAATGGATGAAGTATCCTTTGCAACAGGTTCTGTCATGTGGCGTCTGAATGTGCTCATCATCGTCGATGTCGTCGCCTATGGGTTGCTGCTGGAAGAGATTTCGGCTTCTGCGTCACACTAGCTTTAACGTGTCCGGCCCAACTAGCAAGAAGATAACAAACACAAGCAAGCAGATCCAGGATTACAGCAGGACATCAGGTAGACTTCCTGCCGTCCCAGACTTACTGGGGTGACTGAAAAAACCCGGATAAGGAGTGCCAGGTAACACGTCATGTCTGTGAAGCCAAAATGTTCGTAGAAAGGAACAGCTTCGTCCAAAGCGCTGAGTGAGATCCTCAGTTGATATGAGCTAAAGTCAATATTTCGCATATAGTTAATGGACCTGGGTTCCCATTAGGGAATAGATTAAGGACTATGCTAAACTACCAAATGGACTAACCCCTATTTCTGACAGCAGCTCATATGCTGGATGGTTTAGGGTTTGATGTTCAAAGGGCTTTCTCAATCAAATTCAGGCCCTTAGTAGTCTGAGGACATGGGAGGACTGTTATGGGAAGCCCCCATTAAGGATGGAGGTAGCTTTAACAACTCGCACAGGGCACAGCGTGGCGCGTGATTCGCTTTGAGTCACGCCGCAGAAAGCCAATACTTAAGTAAGGTCGATCTAGTGAACCCACCGTGTGATTCCCCATCTGCACATAATTGGGTTTAGGGTTTAGGGCTCAATGATAATGAGCCTATAACATGCTGCGATGCCTGCATCCACACTAGAAATCTGCAAAGATTATGAGGTCCTCAAGAGCGTTGGGGCCATACCTTTTTGGGGAACTGCTGTGGACATCTTCCAGTGAACAGGGTGTCCCAACATGCCCATGACACAGTACGAACAAGGGTGTCTTAACTAATTGACCCAACCCCTGGAGTTAGGGGTTTAGGGTTTTGGGGTTTGGGAACCTATCATAATCATATGAAATCCATACGGTAACGAAGATCCCTCTACTACCTCAACCTACGATGTCAGTTTACATTTGATTTTCCATTCTGCGTTCCACTCGATTCTCCGTTATTGGTCATCGCTTCAGCCTGTAAACCCTACCCAGACCCTCCTGTGTAGTTCCTTTTTGGGTAGCATATTGAAATCCCTTACCCAAAACCCATAACAAACCCAAAAAGGAACTACATTCGAGCCCTTGGTTAAACCCTATGTGAACTACAGTCAATATTTCCGACACAGTCACATGGACTTGGGTTCCTTATTTGGGACTATTTAAGGGACTGTACTAAACTACAAGAGGACCCCTAGGTCCACAGCAGAGGGTCCCTGCATAAGCCCAATATTGACCGGAACCCACATCCCCCATCACCCCCTGAAGGAACCCAAATCGAACCTATCATGATCTGAAGCCTCCGTACGCTCTCATCATGCTCGCGGGTTCAAGGTTGGTTCTACGTGATATGAGCTACGGTCGAAACTCGGTATATAAGCTAATGGACGCCAA